GTTTAATGAAAAACTAGTTGTTAACGTTTTTTTATGGAAATTAACAGAAAACGCAAAAATGGCGAAAATAAATTGACTCGACTCGAAAAATGGCTTGACTCGCCCATCCCTGGTCATAATGCACATAATCATATCATGAATTCTACTATTAATATGATAAAATATTCTTCTTCAGGTTTGTTTTTTTTCTATCAGTTAGAATTTCACTATTTTGCAATACATGCATCAAAACATTAGAACCACGGTACTAATACCGTTCAGTACAAATAGTAATGACTTGATTTACCGTACATTAGCATAAGATGGCTGTTAGTAAAATATTTAAACAATATATTTCAAATAGGTCAAATCTATTTTTTTTTCTTCTTCAGATACGTTACGACACGCACATCCATTGATGAACTTGAAGTCTAGACATACATACGCATTTCATTGTATGACCTCTATCGCTGTCTGTTAAAAGGTAACATTTGATTGCAACAATAATATGTCGTGCAGTGATCCTCAAATGGTCATCACCTTTTCCAGCTTATTTCAATTCACAAATTTATATTATTTCCAAAAGTGAATAGTGAACTACTATATATGACTGTATCAGTAGTTTTATTGTAGAAAACCAGTTAGTTTTTGATACTATTATTGTGTCCGAAATAAAACATGAAGCTGCAAAAAAACAACAATATCGACTGACAACGAAGCCTTTATTGACTCTCATAGGGTTTAGTCTAAACCACAAACAAATTCTGCCAGTATAATTATGTTCTTAATTCCATTACGATATTATTTTAGTTTAGAAGTGACTTTTATACTGATATCGCAACAAATTGATTGTTGAAAACATACTGTATATTCATTTACTTTACATTCAATGTTAGTTCAGCTTGTCAAAATTACTAAAGTATGAGCTTAAACTACAGTTATGCAAATGTAGGTTTCCTTCAAAAGGAAGTGTTTTGATTTATTTTCTCTCTTTCACTTCTGAATATTGACAGTTTAGCTTTACTCACGTTTCACATCTTATTCTGAAATAAATTCTTTGCCTGTCTTGATAACACGTTCAACATCATTCTCCGCTTTTTGTTTATGCCTTCTCTCTTGTATTCGTTATCTGTAAAAATTGTTGTCAGTTGTAAATAGTCGTTCATCATCGTAATCAGATTATATTCACTTCAATGAGAAGAATCTTCTCTTATAAAGAACAAAAAAAAATCTTATTCAAATACATAAACAAATGTCTTTTTCTAGATTTCTTCTAAGATCATATCCAGTAGTAAGTATTTATTTAACAAATTCAATAAGATTTTTAAAATTCATTTTGACCTTTGAATTTAAAAGTGAATCATAATCGATATGGGCATCTCAACTCGTGACTAAGTTATGATCGTGTATTATAGTTGTGCACGACAGTCGTCTATGACAATTATATTCGTCCGCTGTAAATAGCTATCGTGTTTTGCCGTATTTTGTCTTAAAAAGCCGTTGATGATCATGTTTTCATATTTGAATTTCACTATTGAATTTTCTGTATGTTAGAAGCTATCGAATAATTTCCACTAAATACATTACGCATTCTTTAGATTTCTTAATAGGCAGAAAATATTTTTGAACAATTGTTGCATCATACATTGAGGTCTATCAGAAGTTTGAACAAAGGTTTCAATGTCTATTATGTGTGAATTTTTGCAAGTTCTTTTTTATAAGAGAGAAGACAATTTATCTGTTAGAAGATAAAGAACAACGCTCGCTTAATCATCTGAGATTGATTAACATTCATTCAGTACATCATTGCTAGATAAGGAATATTTCATGATCTGAAAATAACATTTGAGAGAACGACTTTTTTTTTTTCTTGAAATATGATATCTTTGATTGATACATAACTATCGTATTCCATGAAATACAACTTATGATGGATCAATGAATTCCGATTGAAGATCAAATTTGACCTGGTTCCATCTTCACTATTAGGTATAGTTGTTCTCTTAATGAAATTTGCATTTTATCGCTTTGTATTTTACTTAGTCAAATATTTAACAATACCCACAAAACAATAATTATTATACAACTTCTGTCAATGTCTATATATTCATTTGTCTTAGTAACATTTAATCAATTTATAATGAATAAAAGACTAACAGCGCCATGCCCTAGTATCTTACACCTTAGCTAAAGAGAAGTTTCTGTAATCTTAATAACCTGACAACAGTCATAAATAGTGATTGACAATTTTCAGCAATCGAAAGAGAAGAAGTTCGAACATCTCTTTATCTGATATTATATAAGACAAAACTAATTTAAGACGCGTCATCATCACAAAACATGCATGAAAACGATGTTTCGTATTTGCTGAAAATCAACTAAATTCTATATAATTTGACCGAATAGATTCGCAATTTTATTTGTTGAACATTGAAGTATAAGAAAATAAATAATAGATCTGAAGCACATGTCAAAATAAAAATTACCTCGAAATGAAGCACCGTTTTCATACATGTTTTAAATTTTTGATGAAGATAATAGATTTTAAAATAATTTTGTACAGATAAAATGATTTTCGTAGTTCATTTCTTTAGACTGTTGAAAATTGTAGGTTTCTAATTATTGTCATTGTCAAATTATTAAGATTATATTGAACTCTTTTTAATACTCACATTTATACTAATATTAAAATTCAATGAAAATTTGTTTTTATATATACTAATTTAATATTAAGTTTTAGATATGAACTCTTTGAATGGTTTAAATTCAGTCGAACTTTTCGACGATATTGATCATCTTCTTTTTTTGTGTGATCGTCTTAGTAATCGTTTACTTCAAGTTAATTCCTATGTTGATGAAGTTAAACAAACATGGGTAAATAAACGACGTTCAATAGAATTAGAATCTAATATATCACCACTTGTTGCTCAAAAAGTATCAAAATGTAATCAAGTTTTATTAAATGTTGCTGAAAAACTTGCAATTGTTGAACTTCAAACAGAATCATTACATAATCTTCAGTCATCTATTACGAATATACTTCCAACTACTACTGAAAAACATGAAGGTAAATAATAACAAAAATAAATAGACTTATGCTAAACATTTTAATTAATATTCTAGTATGTTCTTCGATGTCATCTATTAATCAAGTATCAGTACGTGTTCCTCCATCTTTTGTACAAATGACTAATCCTAAAACTGAAACTGTTAATACTGGATTTCTTTCACAAAGAAACATTCCTTCTAGTGGAGGACGTTCATTAAATGATCAACAAATTGGTTTTAATTTTCAAAGTCCATTACATGTTGCTACAAATCCACCAATGAATTTATTTACACCAAGAAATACAGCAACATTATTTCTAGAAAAATTTCCAGTAAAACAACAATCATTAGAACAACAACAATCTGCTTTTCATCGACCATTATCTGGTCAAAAAGATATTGGTTTTAATCAAACGAAAAATTCATCACAAAATTTGCTTATTTCGCAAACATCTGATTTTCCGACACTACAAAAACCAATGCCAAATGGATCAATAAATGGTTATCAACAACAATCATCGAATGTTATTATATCTCGTCAATCAGCTGTGTCAGATTCTTATTCATGTATGTACATATAATATAAAATAAGTTTTTTTTTTCTTTATTAATTTGTTTTTTTTTCTTTTTAGCTCGAACCTTGAATGAACCCAATAATGTAACTAATGGTAAAGTTCGTGTTAAAATGCAAGTTATTAAAGCTAATACTATTTGGCATAATGCTGATATACCAATTATTGATCATCCATCAGCATTTTTTGTTTGTAATCAAGATCCACGTGTGGCTGAACAATTTAGTATAACGTCAATTGAAATGAAGTAAGCAATATATTATCCATTTCTGAAAATAAGTCGCTTGGGCAGAATTCTTATAACTTTTGAAGGGAAAGTCATAGAGAGCTGTGGTTTTCACCGTTGGATAGAGAACATCAGGGCACATAAGTCTATGTAAAAAACCGATGGAACAATCCATAAAAATACTCGTTATCTGCGTCATCAAATTTGGATGAAAATTACATAAAATATGTCTATTCTTGAGATTTAACCTCAGTATACAACTGATTCACACATCAGATATACAGTAGACAGTGCCTATGCATCATTTGAACTCAACAAGATAAAATGTTGAAGTTGCCCTTTTTGAAAGAGAACGATTTCCTGTGAGAAAAAGGAAATTTCAGATTTCTAAATTTGAAGCTTATTTTAGCGGTTTTCGACAAATTTATTAAAAAGTTATAAACACGTACCTTGTATAACAGATCTTTTTTTTACATAGTCTTACGTGCCCTGATGTCCTCTATTCAACGGTGAAAATCCCAGGTCTCTATCATTTTCCTTTCAAAAGTTATAAGAATTCTGCCCAAGCGACTTATTTTCAGAAATGGATAATAGTTTATATAACAATGATCGTCGTCTTTTTTCTTTTAGCAATTATTACAATAAACCAGCTAATACAGCTATACCTTTACAAAATCCATCTATTGGTGATTTTTGTGTAGCTCGTTTTAGTGAAGATCATCTTTGGTATCGAGCTCGAGTTGTTCTTATACAAGGTAGTTATGTAATATATTTTTATTACTCTAAGAATTTTCAAATCTAAACATGAAATATATTAGTGGAAATAATATTATTTAATTTTACTTTAGATGAATCTATACTTATTGTATTTATTGACTATGGTAATTCTGAAACAAAACCAGCCAATGAAATTTATCCAATACAAGAATCATTAGCTCGTTTACCTGCTATGACTGTTGCTTGTACATTAGCTGAAGTAAGTTTTTCTTCTTTCATTAATTCTCTCTTTTTTTCTGTACAATCAATTTTGTAAGTCGTTTCCACGTAACGAAAATTTTTGGACTCCAGAAGCAACTCAAGTATTCAGTGCACTCGTAAAAAATCGTATTGTTGAAGTTCAGTTTCAACAAGGCATCGGTCAACAATGGTACATACTAGTTCTTAACATTTAAAGTTTATATTGTTCTTTTTATATTAGGCCGCTTCATTTTGTTAAGGTTATTCTCGATGGACAGGTAAGTAGTAGAATCGGTTTTTCCGTGTAAAATATTGTTGAAAGATATTTTTTTTTGCATTTTCTTCTAGTCGATTGCTCAACATCCGAAACTGACACCATATATAACGCCAGCTCAAAATGAAGAAATTGCAATGCATTTTAATGACAAACTCACATCAATGGAATATATCTTGTACAATGTAGCAGTTAGTGAATCAGATATTTATAGTGATAGTAAGTATAATAAATATAGAATTTAAAATTATTATTAATTGAATATTCTTTATCTAGTTCTTCCATAACAAACTGAATGATATATTTAGTTAACGATATTTAACCTATTTAAAACGTTTAGAATTTTGTATTGTTTTTCTTTGTTGTTTATTAAACATGGCACGGTGATTAGACTGTGATTGCATGCATCACAAAATGAAAACTTAGCTAATAGATATCAATCGGTTTTCTGTTTGTCTTTTGTTTTGTGTTATTTTTCTTTCTTCAAAGTATTGTTTTGTTTTCGATATATATATGTTTGTGGGTGTGTCTATGAAACATTTCTCTCTTGACTATGTTTTTGAAAGCACAGCTTTCCCATTCGCGAAAAAATAAAGACAAAAAAAGAAATTGTAGGTTTTCTTCGAAAACAAAAAAAAAAACAATATATTGTAAACCATTATTGATCATGATCAACTACATATCTAATGAAGTATATTGCTCGATGAAAAATTATTTATTTTCACAATAAAACGATTACATATATATATTATGCATGATCAATCTTTAATAATACACTAAATGAACACACCTTGGTTCACATGCTTTTTATTATTAATCTATCTCAAAAATTTTTATAATTCTGACACATTTTTACTTCACACGTATCCACAAAAACTTCTTCCATTAAGTCAACATGAATCAAGTGTTGGTATTAATACTTGTCCTATCTATTTTAATAAATCATTAGTAAGTAAATTGTACTCTTCTTTGAGAAAAGACTTTTATGAATTATATTATCTTTTTTTCTTGTTGTTAAGTATGTTTGTAACTTCAAGCGCAAGACATCATCATACTAAAAATACACGGTTTCATCGAAATGCTTTTTCCCAGTTGATCGTTGGTAATGCTGACCATCATGATCATTATCGACCATTTTTAATACAACAGCTACCAAACGAACGAAAAATTTTCCTTAAATATGAAATTGTTAAAGGCGATCCACGAGAATTTCTCGGTTGAAATTATGGATTTCAACTGAAAAGAGATTTCTTACTGGCAATTAGCACCATCTATAGTATAGTTAGTATGACTATTTTGAAATGACGTTCATATTGATATTTAAAATATCTGAATTGTTGTCATTAATATTGATAAATAAAAGAAAGAAAAGTGCATTTTTATAATAAATTTATGGATTTTCAAGAGTTATATCCGGTAAGTAATTTTATTGGTCAATCGATCAAATAATGACTTCACATTTGTACATTTGTTGTGAGAAAAAAATAGGGTATTTTATGAATTTTAACTTCAATTTTGCTCGTTGGTGGTCAAAAATATGAATAGAAAGAAGGCATAGTGGCATATTGTTTGAATAGAAATCAAAATATTATCGATATTCTATTAGAGACTGTTCTTGATCGTTTAATTGCAGTGCTATTGAGCTATTTTCTTTGAATATGATCCACTTGCTTGGGGCAAGAAGTCATAAAAACAACTATCGAATGTTGCACATCAACAAAAAATGATTTAATTAGTCAGTTATACAACAAAATATTTTTTTCCTTATTTCATGTGTTCTCAAGTATACTCTTTTTGTTTTCTTATAGATTAGTTAGATGTTTCTTTAGCTACCCAATAATAACAACTTAACTACTTTACTAATTAGACAATCATATTGTAATATAGACATGAAAACAACAGGACTCAATACAATCAATCAATTACAACTCAAGGGTATGCAAGATATACTAATATATTTTTTGTTGTTTGACATTTCACTATCGATGTGAAAAGGACAGAACATGAAAATAGACTCATCAGCTTTGAGCTTTCACGATGTACTTTTGATAGTAAAATAGCAAAGATTTTTTTTTTATATTAGCAAAAATAGCACATTTGAAAGTTTCTTCGTTTAGTATGCATTTGGTATAGCTCATTGAGAGACGATTCAAAAATCAGGCGTCCCTAAGAAATAAAATACTTGAAATGAAACATATTTCCAATGTTAACACTCACAAGTGAAACTTGATTAATATCTGTAACAACAGTCATTTTCAAAATTCTCGAATAGCATAATCTAAAACATTCAAGTATATATTAATACTTTTTAGTGTTGAAAACAGATCTCTTCAATATGATAAAAGACAAGATTTCGATCGTACTTATTAATAATAATGTGTTACAACCAAGATAATCCATTTATTTCAAGATGCACACATTCAAAAAAGCAAGCTACACTGGACTTTATTGACCAAACGATCGATATACTCGGTATAACAATATCACATAATCAATGATACAATGTGGTTTTTGCTGTCATTTATGCAACCTGTTTTTGTTTCGTTCAATAAAAATTGAAGCAATATTCTTTTGTGTTTGCTGGAATATGTGTGAGTGTACAAAGAGTTCTAAAATAGTGTTATTTTTCTCTTTCACAATAACTATATATATATATATATATGACATTATCAAGAGAAACATGAAACGTTGCGTGTTAAAAATTTCATGAAAGTTCATAAATATTCATTAGTAGATTTAGAGTTTCAGACTAATCGACCGATCATATAGACTCTTTGTAACTAGAAATGCAGTGTATCATACTGAAATATCCTGAAAGATGAAAATTCCGCATTACACTCAATGCCTTGAACATAAAGACATGTTCTTTTCGAATTTGCTCCGGAGATGATTCATAGCAAAAAGACATTGTTGCAAGTTTTTCAACCGATAGAAACATAGAGAAAATAGATTATATTCGAGAAAGCGAGAATCATTAGTGCACAACAGCTTTAAAGGAGCCGTGAAACAATTCTTTCACAGTCCATGCATTAAAATGATTGAGGAAAAAAATAGCCAAAACACATAACAGTGACCCACTGTATAGAAAAAGCACGTAGATGATTGCTACTTTTTTAATAAAGGAGAGAGCTGCGTGTCATAATCGTTCTGAGTGAATAATGAATAACTAGTCGTCTTTTCTATTCGACCAAGCTCTGCCTATAAATGAATCAGTACTTATAGATACATGCATATTGTTTCGAACATAACCATCGTTTATTATTGAATCCTATCAAAAATCAATATCGATTTTTTCTGTGATATAAACAGATTTTTATAGAAGGTCTGGAGCAGTCTAGACTTCTCACATTATACACACTTACATATATATGTATATAATGCTTTATAATTGTATTGCGTTTCAGTCGAAATCATTTCCACTTAGTAATTTAACTTCAGGATAATAATTTTGGATTCATATCTTTAACTATTTGATGGTGTGTTTTTATTTTAGAAGTTTAATAATTATTCAATATCATGAACCAATCAAAGCTGTATGATGATACAATAATGGTTTGGTCTCTTATAATGATCATACATCATCGATCTTTATTCAATTACCTATCTAACGACAAGCATTTCAGCAACTTCATACAAATGTCAAGTCAGTTTTCGAACATTTTCAGATTTTGGTAGATACTTAAACCAAAAGAATTTCATTCAATATAATAATAGATAGTGTATGATTTTTCAGTGAGTTTTACAAAACGACATCAGAAAATGAATGATCTTCAACAACTTATCAGATTGATGACTTTTGTATAGTTCATTATTTGAATAAGAATATGAACAATAGTGAATTTTATCGAGCTCGTATTCTTCAAATTGATTGACATCGTAAGTCGATTATACTTTTAGGCAATTATATCAGAAATTACTAACGATCTTATTTTAGATACAAGTTCTCGTCATATTCAATTTTTTTGTTTGTTAATTTCGGATCTTCTACATGGACAAAGTCACAATATCCTTGTCCTTCACAACCACATACTGCTTCATTATCAGTACAAATTGTTCGATTCTTGTTTGATACAGTAGGTCTTCGAAAACATTAGTTTATGACATATTCAATATTAGATAGAAAATAGTATATTTAAAAGTAGAATAATCAAATTTGTAATAAAAACAAAAATAGAAAAAGTTCGACATCAAGTAAGTCAAGAATCAGGAAACTGCATGAGACATAACTAAAACAAACAGAACATATGCAAAATGAGAAACTCTTATGAATTCTTTTTTTTTTTTTTTTTGAAAAAGACACAGATTATTAAAAGAAAAAAAAAAGAATCAATGTTAAAAGATTTCTACTCGTCATTATTATGATTTATTGTCCTTGGTAGAGATTCTTATAACTAGTAAAAATCATTCGTTGTCTAAAAAGCTTCTCAAGGTTGTTCATATTACCTGAAGCCATAAATATATTTATCTTACAATAAAAACAATAATTTCATAGTTTGTCATATTTCTATAGATACACATCATCAAGTAAAATAAAAATCGAATAATACATTTGTTTTTGCGTTATTTGAGAATAAGTGAGTATATATAATATTTTGTTCTACTAAGCAAATAGAACTAACATATATTATGATGCGTAACTATGTACATCTCACAATTTGTATGAATTGTAAGTGCATACGTCCAATGAAATTTTAATCAGATGAAAAAAGAAACTCAAGTTTTATAAAAAAACAAAAACTATATCCTACAAAACATGTCTTATCAAGATTATGATGAGTTTTACTTGATGAATATACATATTTTTTTCAATATTTTAGGTGATACCATTGATTAACAAAGATGAAGAACAACTTAGAACTTAATCAATAAATATTGTTCAATTAGCTACAGAAAAATGATGTTGATTATTTTTATATGAATATTAATTCATCTAAGTTTTTTTTTTTGATTATATTTTATTCTAAAGATAATAACTATTCATCTACAAGTTTTTATTTATCTGAAATTAAAGTATTTTTTTTTGTTCAATAAAAATAAAATTTTCAAACTTTTAGATTGCATTTATTTTTATTATGTGCGAGCAATTGATCGATAATGTTTTTATCAAGAAATCAAATGAATATAAACAGTCAACATTATCACCATTAACCGATGTGGCCGATAGTGGTGTTGTTAGTCGTATAACACCATTATCATCAATCAATGAAAATAAACTTAACATCAATCACTATGATAATGATGATGATGAGTCAATAACAACTGAAAATCAGAGTCTGTCATTTAATTTAACAGATATTAGCAAACGTAGGCGATTTGTTTTGTCTTTTGTTTTTCAATATATGTTGCTCTTTTTTTCTGTAGCGGTGCTTAAATATAAAAAATGTGAAGAATATATGCAATATTCAAATTGTCTGGTAACTTACGTTGATCATCCGTCCGCTATATTTATTCAAATACTTGATGATGGTTCTGCTTTTCAACATATGCATCAGGATATGAAGTGAGAATTTTCTTCGATATTTTTTTTTATTATTATTATCTCTGGCTTTTTTTCTTTGTTATTCTTCATTAGTCGATTTTATATGGATAATCTAAATGCATATTCAAATATTTCAACAAATTTTTTTGAAATAGGCAATTTTTGTGTTGTTTATTCATCTCAATATTTTGAATTTTTTCGTGCTCGGATTTTAAATATTGATCACAAAAGTATATAAAATTATGAAAAAAAAAAAAAGAAAATTACTCTTCATAAAAATATAAACAAATCAATTTAGATAAACAATGTTTAGTAATATATGTTGATTTTGGTAATTCAGAATGGATACATATAAAAGGTATTCGTCCTCTTCATGCTGAATTTACTAAATTAAAAGTTCAAAGCATTCCTGTAACACTTTCTCATGTATGTTTTCTTTTTTTAATTTTAATTTTCATATTCATTTATAATATATAGATTCTTCCAAAAAAAGATTTAAAAACTAGTGTCATCAGTTGGAATACAACTATAGGCAAACAATGTACACGACAGTTACGTCGATTGTTAATTAAACCAGATAGTGAACCATTTTTATTTGTTTCTGTAACATTTCTTTCGAATGAAATTTGGTGGTCATTACCTTTTGTGGATATTAAAATTGATGGTCAGGTAAATAAAACTGAATTATTTAAATTTATGTCCAATGATACCTTTTTTTTTTTTAAACATCTATTTCTGTTCATTTACTCAATAGAATAAATTCTAATATAATAATTCTATTTTATCGAAACATTTTAATATTTTACATAATTTTGTCTTAGAGAAAATTATTAGAACATAATTTAATAGTTCATAAAATAGTGATAATTAGAGATGTTAACAGACTGATGCATTTTTATTAAACCTATGGTTTGTACGTGGATTCAATCCTTTTTACAATTTCCGCTTTCTATTCTTTTGTTCTGCATATTGTTAAGTTCACTATTCATGTCATTTCTTTGTTTCTCTACTGATTTACTTGCTTTACATGATTTCTTTCGTTCTTTTCCACCTAGATTCTTTCTATCATTTGTTCTCACTACATCTTCATTCTAATCATTCATCTATTTGCTTTGAAACATGTACAAATATATGCGTGTTTGGCTGTGGATATGTGTATTCTCTTTAGATGCATCGAATCACAAACCCACATAGTATTTTACTAAAAAAATTTGTATTGACCCACAAGTAAAAGAAAAAAAAAATTATTCAATCCTCAAGCAAGTCGGATTAAAGAAAGCCAGTCATCAATGTCTCTTGTAGAATTGAGATATTTTTATAATCTTTTACCTAATCTGCTAAAAAATACAATATTTTTTTTTTCATATCGCTTGATTAAATCAAAAATATGTTGATCTTGTTTTATTTTGTAGAGGCTTGTCCATATTTGTTGTAGGCATGTTGTGCGTATGTAATCCATCAATCATTCTATAGAAGTTTGAGTCGGAAGTGACAATATTTACGTTAAATTGATAATGCCAGCCCTTGTTCCAATCCAACTGAATGTAGGAGTAGAGTAGTTCAATACCTCCACCCACATTCCAAATAAAACAGAAAAAAAAAAGTTGTGCCGATGAAAGAAAAAGATTTCTAATGAATCGATAGATAATACATGAGAAATGAAACATATTTTTCATTATTATAGGACTTAGCTAATATACTTCATAATGATGGATTTGCTCGTCTTACACGCAATAATAAAGATTTGAAAATGATTTATCCAAATTTTGGTAGACATTCGAGTGAACAACTTATTTTTGGTATTCAACCATGAGAACGATTTTAAAGTATGATAATAAATAAAAATTAGATTATTTTATTGTTTTTCTTAAAAATCATTTGTTATAGATGTGACTATCTCTGTAAAATGATTGAAATATTTTTTGTGTGCATCAAATGTTGTAAGTATAATTTTATTTTTCAAAATTTTTGAGTATTTTTTATTTTTTTAGTCTGGCACATGATCGATTTCCTCATAAAGAAAAATAAAAAAAAAAAAACATTATTTCATCTTTTCTTTTTTTTCTTCTAATCATTCAGTGTCAGATCGATGATAATGAATTGATATTTATGTACTTTTCTTTTCTTTCATTTCAAGTCATCATAACAAAAATAGCAATAACTATATGATTATGATCTTTATCCAGATTTGACATCTCAGTTAATATCAAACGAGATAAATGAAGTAAATTATATATGTGTGTTGTAGATTTGTTTGCTTGTATTATAAAAAATACTCTACAAATTACTATGATCAATCGTCGATAAGATATACTTTTGAATGAATAGAATCGACATGATGATAAACTGAATATAAGCAATAGAATTATACCTCAAATTTCAATTTGATAGATTTATGAAAATTTGTATACATCAATAAAAATTATCTGTCCAAAAAAAAGAATATAGTGTAATTTACATTCAAATATCGATCTATGTTTATTAAATTACAGACGAATCATGTAAGATTTCTTATTCAAAAGTGAAGACAAAGACTTCTCTTTTTGTCCATTATGCGTATGCAAAAAACACTTAAAAGGTTTGCTTTTTATACTAACAAAACTTTCACCTCAAACAGAGTTTAACATATAGATAAGGTAATGCATAAAATTGCACCGAAATATTTATCTCTCAACAGCAATGCTCGTTACCATTTTTTACATGATATTCTTTGAATAGATAACCCATATCTAAAATATAATAAATTTCGTAATATGTAGGTTTTAGTCTGTCACTTTCACTAATTCTTATATGAAATTATATAACGTTAAAAGTGCAGTATATTTCACTTCGTCATTATAATTATGTATGTAAAAGAAAATATTTTCCAAGTGTTAAATAAATAAGACATCACCCATCTGAAATAGAACATAGAGTATTATATTAATCTATTAACCGTTTTTTCTTTTTTTTTGCAATCAGTTAATGAGAATCGAATTTAGAAATTTCTTTTCGAATAAACGTGTTAAATATTCACTGATATTCTATCCTTGGATTTGTCTTCATTCGATCGTTCAATATATTAATTTTCTTTACAATGTCCGTGATTACTTTTTAAGTAAAAAGAAGAAAAGAAAAGGTTCTCCCCGAAAGGTGAACAATGAAGAAATTCATACCATATTCAATCAACTATTAAAATCAGTTGATTATATAATACATACATATACTTTTATTTCATCTAGAGACGAAAAAAGAAAATTAATCTAGTTATTTTTCTTATCATTAAATATATTCATTGAACATTTTTATTTTTTTTTTATTTTTAAAGAAAAATATTTACTGTTTTAATTAGTAGGATAAGAGAAAAAACGATTTATAATTGATACTTATATTTTTCGAAATACTTGAATATTCTTTTCTCTCTTCAGGCTGATATTAATCGAATACACAATACGACTTGATATAAATTGCAAGAATGTTATTTGCAATTGAATACAAACATAAAATATATCAAAACTAAAGTACAGTATTAGACTTCAATTTAATTTCTCATCAATCATTTTCTTTAGTATAATTTGAATAAGTGTTAAGCATTAGTAAAATTGAAAAATGGTCAAACATTAAATTTTGACAATGAACAAGTGATGATTTGAGTGACAACTCATTTGGTCATTGTTTTTTATATGTGTCAAATACGAAAAGAAATTTATCGAGCATTTTATAAAAAAAATAAAATAAAAGCACGGTTGATTATAATAATGTCCGTTTCTAGATAATTTATCATATAAATGTGTATGATTGTTCATGTATCTGATTACTAAATTATCTAGATTGATAGAGAGGAAGAGAGAGAGAGAGAGAGAAAAAAATGAATCTGTTTTTTTTTTCTTCATCATCTCGAAATTGAGCCATTTTATATATAGATATATATGAATGAAGAGACAAGATTCAATGACAGACAACTAATGTGTCACACAAGGGAACCTTCAACGCTTCTCGTTGCTCGTCTTTCTTTTTTTTTTTTTTTTTTCTTTTTGAAGCTCGACCTCGACATGTCATTTGTATTGATAGTTTGTCCGATAGTATAAGGAAAAGGAAAATCTATTGTTCTCTCATCTACTATGGTCCAGAATTCAATTTTTTTCCCATCCTATATAGAAAACTAATCGTCCGTCATCATCATCATCATCTGTGGGAAAAGAAAAAGAAAAAGTGTGCATTCATCGGTCACTCAGCAAAGATGTATGTCTATAAGAAGCAAGAAAAAAAAAGAAAGCATAGAAACACAGCGGTGAGTTCTAATTGATATATCCGAAGTAGAGAAGGAGTCGAAGACTAAGGAACGAAAGTCATGATGATGATGATGCAATTGTAATGGATGTACATCGTAAATGAGAGAAGGTGAGCGGTCGGTCAAGTTGTTGGCCTTCATTTTACACACAGTTGTTGTTTGTTCTTCTCTTTATACATATATCGTTATAGTAAGCCTATTATATTTGATGTTCTAGTTTATACTATCCTCACATATATATATATATATGCTCCTTAATTGTACACATAGAGAAACAAAAACACATATGCATTCTATATTCTTTGTTTTTCTTCTAGATGGACATAGAATGTGGACGAAAGGATATATGAATAATGATAATATACAAAATGCTTATTTTTCTTATTATTTTTCTTTTTTCAATTAATATAATAAATGGCATTAAGGAAAATACGACTAATATTACATTATTATATAATAATTCATTACCAATAGAAAAACTTTTACATCAACAATATGATAATCGTCAAATAAAATTAAATCGTACAATTAATAATCGTCCATGGAAAAAATCAAATTCAATTGAAACATTAAAAAAAATAATGGCTACTTATCGACCACGTTCATCAATAAATAATCGAACATTAATAACAACTAATATTACAAGTATGTTCAATTTATTTATCTTATATAATTAATATTATAATTTATACAATAGAAATTATTTAGAATTTATTTAAAATAAAACAAAAAAAAAATATGACAAGTTCATAATTAAGAATATGTAATTATCTATTATGACATAAAACATTCTAAATATTATGAAAAACAGGAGCAGTTGCTTTTATACTAAGCTAGTAAATCAATGGATATATTTGTCATATTGATAAGTGATATCATCAGTTATCAATCATTGATGTCCTAACTTCGACACATGTCTTGTATGTTAATTTATCTTCATACTACCAGAAAAGTAATGTTTTACCCAGAATTTCTCTTTTAAAGAAATTATTTCTAACTCTGTATACGCTAACATCTGTTTATTTTTTCTCAGATCACAAACATATAGTACGTTATAGAATAACTATAAAAATTTTCATAGAGTCAATCTAATCTTTGATGAAATATCATTCCTATATTGGATAATATAGACTATAAGATCGTTTTTCCATGGATCTATTTTTAGCACATGTTTGTATTGAATCTTTGACTTTTATAACATAAACTATTGGTATAGATCGACCGCAGATTAACTGATAGCATAAACACAATCATATTAACAAGCAAGTCTATAGTTCAATATAAATAATCCTTCTACAATATTTTCTTATGTTAATGATAGTGGCGGAACTGGAATTTTGACGATGGGGAGGCTCAGCTGGTTGGACTCTAAGCATAGTTTAGTTGGCACTGCTTCGTTCGGTGTTGGAGTTCAGACATCCCTTGGCTACGCAACTATTTAATGATCTTGAGACTTGAATAATCAAGTATACAAAAATTTGTCATTGAACTTTTTCTTATATCTCATAATGAAAAATTTCATTATCTTTAATCAATAAATTGTTTGCTTCTAAGTCAATTATAATAAATAATTTCAAATCAAAATTGATTTTATTTTGACAAACGATCATTAGTCATTCACACAATGATGATTTCAGAATATAAAGACATACCAAAAATAAAATACTAAATCTATGATTGATTGACATCAAGATTGATTATTATTTATCCCTTTGAGTGCCGACTTTTTTTTTTTACCGAATTTAAATTTGATAAAACATGTTATTAAATAGCTAGATGATACTGCGAAACCTGTGGTTAAGTTAAAATTAATTAAATTCACTTTTTGGCATATTCCTGAGGGGGACCAAAATGTGATGAAAAATGAAAGTCTCAAAAACGATATGAAACATATATAGATCGATGCAGTTTTGTGTGCTGATTCAGAATATGATAATTGTTTGAAGTCAAATAAACTTTATTCTCGTCGAACAGTGTCAAATACTAGTCAAAAAGAGCAAAAATGAATGTTGAGGATAGGAGTTCGACAGAAAGTGATTCACTAGACA